CCCCAAAACCCCAAAACCCCAAAACCCCTGCTTGCAACTAAATAACAAAATAAGAAAAAGTTTTAAATAAATATAGAAATATAAATTTGTTATTCTATAATACTCTTTTAAAAGCTAAATATATCATTAGTCTTTTTAGAAACAATTTATTGAGTCTCTCATTATGCAATAATGTTTGTTCTAGATTTAGATGGAGTACCTTTATTAAGGATTTGGATTTTGTCTGATAATGTGAGTTAAGACCTTTGTTCATCATTAAGTTCGTTGAAGGGGTTATTATCTTTGGCATTAAAGTACTCATCAGTCTTTGAAATATTTGCTGAGCCAACCTTGCTTTTTCTCTACTATTGGTGAGAGAAATAATGAGATTCTGGCTACCCTCCTGGGAATTCAGATTTTTTTTTGAAATCCTTTTAAGTGTTATTTTGCTGACTCTTTTACTCTGATTGGATTATTCTAGAAGTGTTTCGGTTCACATATTATGATCTGGGTCTGCTATTTTGTTTAAGTAAAGATGAGTTATTCATAGGTGTGGGTGGAGTAGTGATTGGAGCTAACTTCTTATTGATAATTTATTGTTAAGATTATTGACCGTTGTTTATCTTAGCCAGATTATACTCTCCTTTTTTGATTATGGATTGAGAGGATTTTTAATTTGATTCATTTCTCTCCAGCTTGGTTGGAGATGTAGCCCTGCTAGTATTAATGATCTATTGCATTTAATTGATGCCAAAGTTCTAAGAAAGCTTCTGCTGCTCCTCCGCTATTTATTAGTTTCGATGATGGTCGTAAGAGTGAAGCATCAGTACTTTTGCATCAGGTCTCATATCATTTTAATGAGCATACTTGCCAAGAGAGGCAACATAGCAGATTTCATTCATTACCTTGTCCATATTAGGAGCTTAAAGATTTTTGTTTCTGCCATTACTAGATTAAACTCGCTAAGGAGTGTATGCTCGATGCTTTTGTGAAGCTGACTTAGCAGGGGCTGTTGTTTAATATTCCTAGTAATTTGTTCCATTTGAACTGTAATTATTTAGCCTTGATGCCTAAATTGGCTTTCTATGTGATGAGTAAGCAGATTAAGCTCTTTTATTGTTGAATTAATAAGGATTACTTTCGACTTCTTTCAAGCCAAAATTACTAGTCATAAGATGCTCATCATTAAAGTTGATATTGTTCTAATTAGTAGAATTAGTGTTTTATCTCTCCAGTTCTATATTCCTAATAACTGCATTAGACTGAATAAAACTATTCAGCTAAGGTTTCTTTGCAGTAGAGAAGTTCTCACTCATAGTATAGGGATTAACTAGACTTTGTGAATACTTCTCTTCATGAATATGATTGATAAGAGAAGAGGACAGATTGTCTCGCTAGGTGTTTACATTCCAATAGAAATTTAGCAGTTCCTTATCAACCTTTTTGAGGCTTTTATTGGTTCGAGCAATACTATTAATCTAAGATTAAATGTCAGAGTCCATTTGTTTTGATACATTTAGCATCTAGGCAGTGTTCAAAGATGGTGTAAAGTCTGCTGGATTAAATAACTTATTACTCGAAGGACTGTTAAGATTCTACGTCAGCAAGTTTTATTTTTGATAAGCTTAACTCTATTTCTACTTTGCAAGTTTATCTAAGTATAGGGCTTGATTTTCCCTTATGTTTTTTTAAGCATCTTTATTATAGAGCAGCATTACTTTTTTCTGATTTTCGACTGCTGAGCAGTTTGCACTTAATTTGTCAAAAATTTTAATTCCATTGACTTTACTCAGTTATGTTTCTGTTAAGGAACGTGTTTGAAAGTATTGATGCTACCCTTAGTCAAGTATTCTTTGTTCCTAGTTGAAAATAGCCTTGGTATTTGAGTTGTATTGGATATATTGACTGTTGAATGGAGTATCCTTGGAGTAGCCAAACTTTTGATTTGTGTTAATTTTTACCATTGGCTTATAAATCGGCTGGTTCTTAGCAAAGTTCACATTCTTAGACAAATCAAGCTAGTTTAGTTCATTCCTAATGAGTGTGTTTGGATTCGATACAAGGTACTGGGGCATCTAAGCGGACACAGCATTCTTCAGTTTGAATGGAGATCTAGTATGATCCATTATAATTTTTATTAAGTTAAATTACAATACAATTGATGATTTAACCTCTAAATAAATTAAAATTACTTTACTTTTTTATTTCTCTTTTTAGCATGCGATTGTGAAAAATGGGGTTTTGGGGTTTTGGGGAGATCGGAAGA